CGTGTTGCCTTGGTTCGTTCTGCTGTTTTCCTTGCCAGTAGAAAGTGTAGTCACTCTCACGTAGTGAGCCACTGCCAGCAAGCCGGGTCTCCTGCAGTTCTGCAATATCGACATGGAGTCTCGCCAACTCCCTGTCGATAACTGCAGTCTTGCAGATGTCCCCAATCTGCAATAGATCTTCGGAGAGTCCAGAACACATTGTACGTACATTCCAGCTTGCAAAATGAAGGGCTGGAACGTTCTTTCGTTTTGTTTTGCTTTTGTCTGGTGCAGGTTTTGCAGCCCACTTGTCTGGTGATGAACCATAAGCTCCAAGCACCCATTGGAGCAGGTGAGCACCTTATTGACTGGGGGCTGCCCAGCTTGAGGCGGGTGGTAGCTATCCATTGGGGTGCAATGACCCCTCCCACCGACGACGGCAACCCGTGGCGCCCATTTTTTATGCCAATCTAAAATGAGCTTATAACCCGTGACTGCTGCCATCCGTGTTTCTTGGCCACGATTAGGTGACCGAGGAGTGTCCTCTCCCCATTTTTACTCCTCTTGTTGGCGCAAAGCCCGGGCAGGTTATTCTGGAAATTCTGGGTTGCCCATGCGTCAGGATCCCCCCCTCGGCCTTGATGGTGATGTCCAAAGGAGTGTGTAGCACGACATTTGGTACCAGTTTGGCTGCAGGGGCTGCCGGGAATGTGCCGCAGTGCATCACAAAACCGCCTGAGGGGCCCCACTCCTGATTTTCTGTCGGGGTTTACTCCCTTAGCCATTGACTCTTCCGAGACACTCACAAAGCAGTGAGAAAACCGCGTAACCCTGGGAGGGGCCCTTACCTGGTACTGACAGCCGGGCCAGCTGTGCATTGGACTCGCGTAAGGCAGAGTGGTCACGCCCTGAGGTAGTTTATCACAAACTACCCGCTACCTATAGAGGAAAACATACGTTTTTATTAAGTATGGTGCATGCAGTACCATGGTGAATTGACAATTAATTGACCCTGAATAACAAAATATTTTGATATTTCAAGTATATATATTTTAGAAAATTGCTTCAAAAAGCCTGGACAGATGAACGCTTGAACTTGCATTCAAATAAATAGGAACACATAGATACGAGAATACACGAAGGATAATGACATTTCACACTTTTTAAACAAGTAAGTGGGCCTGGGCAGGACACATCATGGCTAGAAAGGGCGGTGGATGATGATTAAAGACGATTAACGGAGTTGCAGACAAGGAACTGAATGCTTCCGAGAGTACGTCCACCGAGGAGACAGCGATGAGATCAGCTCGTGTGCAGGTGCGAGGTGGATTGGATCATGAGATGTAGTGTGGCTTGAGGTGGCTTCCATCCAGCGGTGGATTTACCATGATTAATGAGAGAAGTGAGGTTATAGGAGCTTGGAAAGAGAGACGATGATGGGAGGGAATTCCATAGTGAAACAGTGCAGGGAAGAAGCATAAACAGAAGTGTTGTGACCTGCAGAATGGTGAGTGGATGAGTGTGTTGTTTTGACCAGCAGCGTGGCGGTTGAACACAGTGTGGATGAGACATAAGTCTAGTAGATCGAGTCCTCAACATGGGTAGAGGAAATCTCATGGGAACAGTAACCATGGTGAGGATGATTGCAACACAATTTTTGTTCCTGGGTAGTAAGTGTTATTTCGTAATTGATTATGCCTAAAAAGTATAGAAAATGGCTATTATTCCCCACAAACTTCGGACAGTGATATTTAGAAATGTACCTATTTTCAATGATAAAAACGTGCAAATTGTGTATTTTCTTTCACATAAAGGCATAAAAAAACAACATATTAATCAAAATTAACATGTATATATGCTAAAGTAATACGAAAATGACTAAAACATATTTAGAAGGGAGTCGTTTTTCGAGATTTACGATTATACTGTAAAACACTTTCACGAATCAGCCCCCAAATGTAGTTTCCCATCATGTTCTCGTTATACTGTCCTTGGTAGTGGCGTTCAAAGTCCAGTATATCCTGGTGAAAGCGCTCGCCTTACTCCTCCGAGTACGCTCCCATGTTCTCCTTGAATTTATCAAGATGACTTTGAGGGACATCCTATAGCCCATTGTGCCGTAGTTCTTCACCAGAGTCTCAGCCAGCTCCACATAGTTTTAGACCTTGTGATTGCCCAGGAAGCCACAAACCACTGCGACAAAACTGTTCCAAGCCGCTTTCTCCTTACTAGTGAGCTTCTTGGGGATTCATTGCACTCCAGGATCTTCTTTATCTGTGGTCCGACGAAGACACCGGCTTTGACCTTATCCTCAGACAGCTTAGGGAAGAAGTCTTGAAGGTACTTGAAGGCTGCCGACTCCTTATCTACAGCTCTGATAAATTGTTTCATAACGCCCAATTTGATGCGCAGTGGTGGCATCAGCGCCTTCCATGGGTCCACCAGCGGCTCCCACTTGACGTTGTTCCTCCCCACAAAAAACTCGGTCCGCTGTGGCCAATCCCGCCTGTGGTAGTGAGCCTTGGTGTGCCTGCTGTCCCAAAGGCAATGATAGCAGGGAAATTTGGTAAAACAGCCTTGGAGACCCATCACGAAATGCCACCATTTTCAAGTCTCCGATGACCTCCCAGCCGTATTCATCATACTTCAAGCCGTCCAGCAAGGTCTTGATGCTGTTGTAATCCTCTTTGAGGTGCATCGAGTGAACCAGGGGAAGAGACGGGTACTTGTTAACATTATGGAGCAGCACGGCTTTGAGGCTCCTGGATGAGCTGTCAATGAAGAGGCGCCTGTCATTCTGGTTACAGGCGATTTTGATTGCCTCGAACAGACTGGTCACATTGTGACAGAAGCAGAGCCCATATTGACGGGTTAAGAAGCTGCAAAACGGTTGGTGGCGCATCCTCTGATCTGCGACTTACACAATTTTATCCAACAAGTTCCACTGCTTGAGCTTAGACATCAAAAGCTCGGCATTGGACTTGGTGAGACCAAGATCTTTGATCAATTTGTTGAGGTATTTTTGGTTGGGGTAGTATGGGTTTCTTTCCTCAGCTCCACCTCTGAAATTGTCATCTGGATCTACAAAGTCTTCCTCGCTCTCTGACTTGCTGCTCTCTTCGAAAGACGACTGCTCTCTCTCCAGAGGAGTAGGTATGGGGAGCTCATCGCAGTGTGGCACCGGGGAGATGGATGAAGGAAGGTCCGGATACGTGATAGCAGGTGCATTCTTGCCAGTCCCACGTTTGTAAGGGTCCACCATGCAGAAGTAGCAGTTGCTTGAGTGGTCAATGGGTTCCCGCCAAATTCTTGGGATAGCGAACTTCATGGCTCTCTTTTACCCCTCTGTACCATCCTACAAAAATACATTTATTTCACCCATGACTAATATAAGAGATTCTCGCAACATTTTTCATATATGATATATATTTTTTTCAATGACATTGAAAATTGTACAACATTTTAAATTGAAAAACTCTTCCAATTTTAAAGATTTTAACAAATTTTATAACATAAAATTCTGAGCAACAATTGTCCATCTTACCTTCCAGAGTTTTTTTTGCATTGCTCGCAGGGGAAATGAGGTGCCTGGGGTTTGCCTTGATCCCCAACAGGCATGCCAAAATATTCCTTGTAGGCCTCACACATCTTAGCAGATGCTTCCACAGAGTACTTTTTCGCTCTTGTCTTGATAAATTGGCCGCAGACATAGCAAAATGCGTCTGCCGGATGCTTGCAGCCTCTTAATGCCATCTCAGAAAAATGCAGATATGTATCAAATTAGGCAGCTGGAACTAAACTGAACTGGTGGACTAAAGGCCCCTGCATTTATACTATTTATATTACTGGAAAGTTCCAGAATGTTCTAAAAGTCACTCCAAGTTTATTCAGCACTGAATCTATCTGGAATGTTCTGGAAAATAGGAACATTTCAAAATATCACTGTCCTGGTCACAAAGCAAAGTTTATGGGGAATAATAGCCATTTTCTATACTTCTTAGGCATAAGCAATTACGAAATAACACTTACGACCCAGGAACAAAAATTGTTACATTGTGTTATTTACACGATCACTCATTTAATATTCACCGATGCTCGACGGCAGACACTCACGTCACCGCTCAGTGACACTGCAACTTGTAGCACAAGAGGACAGCATGACGACGATGATGGTGACGATGACTGTGAATGTCAATAACGCGGTAGCTTTATAAACTGAACGCTACTGTGTGCCGAGCGTCATATCTACCCAGGTACCCAACGACAGAGACCATTGCTGGTGGTGCTGGCTCCGTTGCAAACACGCACCTGGGAGTGGTCTTCAGTTGATTGGTGCAGACTCAACTGTTTCAGCCGGGTAAGTTTGTCAAATGCGCCACTTGGCAGCTCTGTGAGCTTGTTGCAGCACAGAATCTCCAGATTCCCCAGGCAGGCAAACGCTCCCTTGGACATTTCCTGCATCTGGTTGTGAATGAGATACTGTATTGCAGACGCAGGTAATATATGGACGTGTTCGAAATCCATATTGTGTCACTTTAAATGTGTTCTCTCATACTCTCAACAAGATTTTAGTCCTACAAGCTATTAGCGGTGTTAGACGACCACCTGTATTCTGATAACCGTTTTTCTAATTGGTTACCGGTTCCCAACCGTCTACAAACTGCATGGCGGCCTAAGTCACCACATGGTGCCATTGGTCGTCTCTCAGTTAAGAGGTAAAGTTGCTTGCTTACTTACGCCACTGCTGGCTGTCGAGCGTTGGGCTTCATTTTTTAAGGAAGCGGAGACATTTCACCCCACGTTCAGATGAGGGGTCCCACTCAGCACCACCTGGAATGATCTTTACGTGACCTATGGTCGACTGTAATATCAAAACCGCATTGCATGTCATCTAGAACGTGTCCATGTGAGTTGTATCACTGCTTAATCCTCCACAGTACTGCAAGATGGTGACAATGTAAAGGCTGTCAGGGACGCTCTTCAAATTATGTGTCATGAGCTGGCTGAGTTTGTAAATACACCCCGGCGGGGAGAGACATTAGCTGTTTTTTATACAAATATATCTTCAAATAAACGATGAAGTCAAACACCTCGGCAGGTAGAGCCTGAAGGTAGTTGATGTGCAGACTCAAGATAGTCAGTTTTATTAGTTTGTCACAGATCCGGGCGGGTAGAGCCTGTAACTGATTCTCACTCAAATACAGCTTTTGCAGATTCACCAAGTGGTCAAACACACCCTCAGAAACGACCATAAGCCGATTTCCAGACAAATACAAGATGCATAAGGTGCTCTGCAAACCTTCCGGCTACTATCAAAGGTTTGTTTATGAAGCCATCCAGGTATATAAACATAGACATAATTTCAACCTAGATTTGAAGTTTTCGTGACTGCAAGGATCCATACTCTTTGGTTCTTTCGGTAAAGTCACGTAGATGAAAAATAAAAAAAAAATAAAAAAATACATAGCAGGCATTACCAAAAAGATTGCAAAAATCTTAAACAAACAGATGTCATTCCTGACTTGCAATACCCTGGTGTTTACAAACTAAGTTGCATCTGTGGTTATTGTTACATTGGCGAAACGAAACGTCATGTTTCTGACCGTGTCCACGAGCACAAGACAGATCTGAAACACGGCAGGACGAATTCCTCCGCCATTGCTGATCATAGCTATAATGCTGTGGGCTCTCATGATATTGTCTTTTCCGAGACCAAGGTCCTCTGCAAGCCGTCTGGCTACTATCAGAGATTTGTTCATGAAGCCATCCAAATATATAAACATAGACATAACTTCAACCGAGAAGATGGATACAAATTGAGCAATCATTGGAAAGATGTTATTAACCATGTAAAAATTTAATTGTTCTTAGTTGTTCTATCTTATTTACCGGGTACTAGTCTATTTTACCGAGTTAATTGTATCCTCAGCGTTCAGCAGTGCGACTATTTTGTTTGGGGCTCCACCATCATCTATCTTGGCAGCAATCGTGTTGTTGTTTTGTTCCCCCCCCCCCCCCCCCGCACACCTCTAGGAATACAAGCCTTTAACTTCTAGCCCCGCCCACTTCCCCCCCCCCCCCCACCCTGTTTCACGTCCCATTCCCTAGCGTACACGCAACGCTCACTCACTCCCTGTTCTCCCCCCCACTCTCCCCCCCCACCCCGCACACCTCTAGGAATCACAGCCTTTAACTTCTAGCCCCGCCAACTTCCCCCCCCCCCTCTACCGCCCTCTCTGCCTTATATAGCCTTCCTAACTCCGGCATCTCTCCCACTTCAGTAAAAAAATGTTGCTATGGTTGTCACACTTGATGATGATTGCTTGTGTTGCAATCGAATCGTCGTGGTTTAATTTACTTTTTTTCATCTACGTGACTTTACCGAAAGAACCAAAGAGTATAATTTCAACCGAGAAGATGGATACAAATTGAGCAATCATTGGAAGGATTCTAGATTTGAAGCTTTCGTGACTGCAACGATTCATACGCTTTGGTTTTTTCGGTAAAACCTTAACTGCTTTATAGTTTGCCTTCATATCCGCATCTCCAGTTTTCTGCAGCCTCCTACTCCCAGCCCCGCTTACTTCCCAGCCCCGGCATTTTGCCGTGCTCGTTTCCTCCTACCCCCAGCCCCGCTTACTTCCCAGCACCGGCATTTGCCGTGCTTGCACCCCATTCCCCCTACCCCACACCCCCACCCTCTCTATCTCTCCTCCCTGGCTCCGCCCCCCTCTCTTATGTTGTATATATAGGTGTTGTGAAAATTGATGAAAATAATGAAAATTAAAGGAAATTTTAGATTTGCATAATTTGTCCGAAATTATGTTAATTAGTGTAATTATGTGCATGAATTATGCTGATTCGAGAGATAATCGTATTAATTTATGCGAGTGGGCGTGGTTATGATATGGATCATGTGGTCCAGCCTCGGTGACGAGGATTGTGTTATGAATTGGAATAACGCAATTGATCGTATGCAGTGACGCAGGCGTTGTGAGCATGAATGAGAGATAGTCGATTCGACTCTGCTATTTAATTCCGTATTATCGTTAAGGATACGATTACTCTCGATTGAACCTTATGAATTTTTGTGTTATGGATTATGTGTGGTATGGATTATCAGGTGATAGTGTGCTTATGATAGGTCCCCAGGATTCAGATATCATATGCAGAACAATATTATGCAGAATTTCAGGAAGATTCACACACAAACCTTCTCCTTTAATCAATTTTATTTTCTAGCTGACTTTAATTTTTGGATAATATGAAAACTCAATCTCGGGATGTTGGAATTTCAACACAGCGTTAACATGATACCATCACGATTGCGTTGTTTCACCTCGATAGCGGCACCTGTGGTTAATTCCCGATGCGTAACGCAATCAATCGGTTGTTGAGAGAGAGATTAAAAACATGCGAACTATTCTATCAAAACCTTATCCTTATAATATGCAAACTCGTATTCTTGAATGATTACACAACACGGCACTCGGTCTTTGATTCATATCCAATCCTTAACACATTCTGATATGCGAAATTATTATGCTTGAAGTCGTCAGCACAGTACCACGGCGATGTTGGTTCATTGATTCATCAACGATTATGCAATTAAAGCGTTCGACTGAAATACTTTTGATTGCCTCATCAACGTAACTCAATGGGTGGCGATGTTTTTCGTTATCAGCTAATAGTTGACGCAGTTATCATGAGTCTTGTATGTTTAATGGGAGCGTTGTTGATTTCTTGCGTTGAGCAAACGCCTAGGTTGATTTCCTTGTCAAAAAAAATGTTTGTTCGTTGTGTAGCGGTGGGGGAGTGAGGGGGGGAGAGTGTGGGTGGGGGGCATATGAACGACTGCCAGTTTCTGTCCACCGCTGGCTGGATGAGTCAGCACGACGCTCGCCGTCGTCGCGCCGATGGGTGTTGAGTGCGGGGCCGCTGCCCTCTCAGCCCTGGTGACGCGAAGTTGCGCGCTGTAGCACGCTGGTGGCACGCCGTTGGCACGCGCTGGTGCTGGTGGCACGCTGGTGGCGCGCTGTTGGCATGCGCTGGTGCTGATGCTAGTGCTGATGGCACGCTGGTGGCGCGCTCTCCCTCTCCTTGAAGATGCGCGAACGCGCCCGTGCTGGTTCGCTGACAGCAGTTTCTCTCCACTGCTGGCTGAGCTGCTGCACGCTCTTGCTTGGCGTTGCTGGCCGCGCTCTCCCTCTCCTTGAAGATGCGCGAACGCGCCCGTGCTGGTTCGCTGACAGCAGTTTCCCTCCACTGCTGGATGAGCTGCTGCATGCTCTTGCTTGGCGTTGCTGGCCGCGCTCTTCTCCTTGAAGATGCGCGAACGCTCCCGTGCTGGTTCGCTGACAGCAGTTTCTCTCCACTGCTGGATGAGCTGCTGCAAGCTCTTGCTTGGCGTTGCTGGCCGCGCTCTTTCCGCTGCTGTAGTATCTGACGCTGCGCTCGCGGGCGACAGGTCAAGTTTTCTTCTGCTGAGTGAGCCGAGTCGCACGCGCTCTCTTTGTTGAGGTTGTTGGCGGCTCTCTGACAGCAGGTATCCTCCACTGCTGTATGACTCAAGTCGCACGCGCTTGCTCGCTGGTTTGCTGAAGTTGTTGGTGGCTGTCCAAGCTTTTCCGCTGCTGGTTGAGCCACGTTGCACGTGCTTTCTCTGTGGAGATGCTCGAGCGCTCTCAGCGCTGATTTGCCGGTACTTTGTTGGCGGCTGGCCAAGCTTTTTCTTCTGTTGAGTGAGTTGATTCGCACGTGCTCTCTCTCTGTTGAAGTGCGCGAACGCGCCCATGCTGGTTCGCTGACAGCAGGTTTCCTCCACTGCTGTATGACTCACTTTTGTTGATCCATCGCGATTCAGCGATCCTCGCTACTCAGCGAGGCTCGGAGCCAGCCGCTCCATGCGACTGCTCGTCCTGTGGACGTCTTGACTCGCTGATCTGTCTTGACTCGCTGCTTCACTGTTGACTGACTTTTGAAAATGCGGCTGACCGTTATTCAAAGACAATTCTCTCCGCGCAGTGGAAAAGGGGGGAGCGGGGTCTGTGTGTGTGTGAGTTCGTGTGTGTACAGATGGCTCCTGCGATAAAGATCTGTTTGCCCTGGCGTGAAATTCCTCTCTCGCGCTCTGCGGGAGAGACAAAGGTGGTCGGGAGTACCTATCTCTTTATACTTTCGACTTTATATTTCTCAAATACCATTTGGTCCCATGTTCGCCAAGACTCGTGTTTGTAACTACGCCCTCCCGACACCCCTCTCGGTTTACCGAGGTTCGCATTGTTATGATGGAATTATTAAAAAGAAAAATAATTTTCATCCTGAATTTAAGAGGTCCGTTTCTTTATTGTTGGAATCCATATCCCTTGGTTCTGTAAGGTTCTATAATGGAATGTCGTGTAAGGTGAACACGTTATTATTAATGTTATATTGCAATTTTCTTTAAAACTTTGTTTGCCTGGTTGTTTTCTCATTAAACACGGCTGGCTTTTCCAGATGGCCCCTTGTGATAAGGTGTAATTCCTGCTTCTCCGCACTGCGAGAGAGACAAAGGTGGTCGGGGTTGCTTGGGATATTGTTTAAACTCTTTCGTAAGTTTGCCCATTCGCCTCATTCCTTCTCAATAACCTTTGATGTGACTCTGTATTTTGTCTCCAAGCTTTGTTTTAACAGTAAAAGTATTAAAGGTGAAAATCATTTGATAGCGAATTAATTATTGGATAATAATTCACTGATGTATCTGGTGGCCTGGTCTTAATTGGAGTGAGCGCGAGGACCGCTAACTTTGGCTTATTCTTGTTATTGCATTTTAAATTTTAACCGTTGTTTTAATGAAAAAAAATATGGTTTAACCCGTGGGCGTCCTCGTTTCTGGCTTGCGGAGGGCTTCCCTCTGCGTGACCTCCCTTAGGGCACATAAAACTCTTGTTCATCTGGAGATCTTCGCAGATAGCTGCTAACATCCTCGCCTCGAGAGTTTTATTATTTCTTTATTTTTTAATGGCCTGTTTATGATCAACATCTGGTTTTTCGTGTGCCTGGCTTACGGGTTTTATTGATTATTTTTTTTCGTTTGGTTAAAAAATATATGATAACGGCAAATATTATTGTTAATATCAATTTTGGAAAAGGCTCATATAGAACACTTACCTATATAGCCTCTTGATACAAGCACCTCTTTTGCCCACTTCAGCAATTGTTTCTTGCTGTGGTTGTCCCATCTGATGACGGACGCTTGTATTGCACCCGAAACGTCGTGATTTAATTTATTTTATTTTATACCTACGTGACTTTACCGAA